ATTATTAATTGATTTCTTCTAGGGAAGTATAAAGTTTAGGTCAGCTGTCGGTTTGGCGAAAATTCGTCGTCTGAAGCTCCCACTTTGCATGCCTAAAACTCAAACAATTTGCAACAATCAAAAAAAGGGTACATACCTTCTTGTAGAGCAGATAATTTCCTATCGAATGGTATATGAAACATTGTAAAACATTAGAGGTTCACAAGAAAAATTTCCGTTTGAAAAAATGCGCCACTACTTATGAGACAACCTAATACTTTCACGCGACTGAAGCGGATACGACCCCCCCCCCCTATAAACTCAACCAGGTACGACCCCCCGTTGTTACTAGTAACAACGTAGGGTTGACCCTGCTCCGAAGCACTTCAATGGCATATCAAAACTTATAATCAACGGCTAATATTCCCATAATCTATTATATTATTAATCATTGCTATCACGTACAAACAGCTTCGATTACCATATCCGTATCTTGATGACGTGCTGGACTTTTCAGCGCTCCACTATTATATTTTGAATTTAAGATTATCCGCATTACAGGCTCACCATCGCCATCAGTCCTTATTCACCGCGCAATTTATCCCCACTTTAGACCCTCCGATGAAACAGTGACCCACACTGTTTCTGATGAAGGGTCATGGAATGTATACCCAAACCCAGAAGGATTTAACGATTTGAATTACATAACTACTAATCCATTACCGAAACCCGATATCTCCCTCAGTGCGCTGGTGCATCTGATCAGCGGGGGTATGGGAGGAGGAGGTGGTGATGGTGATGTGGAGGCGACAACTTCTGTGACCACTGGCGAGGAAAGACCGTTGTTTTTGAGCGGCATTGCGGATGACGTCATCAAAAAGTACTACGAGGTAAGTTGGCGGCTTAACATTGAAACATACAGAACTGGCCGATTTCTTTCTAGATCACACGCGACTCGACACTGAGCGAGGATGAAATGAGGGATGCTCTCATGCAATGGAAACGATTGCTTCCACCTGACTCCCTGGTTCGTTTGTCTTACATTCATTTACTTAACAGGCAGGACGGTAGTAAAGTCTCCTAAATAGCCAGTCTATAGTTGGCCAATAGGTCACGTTGACCTCGCCTTCGTCCGCACCTAAAAAGCATAGGGAAAGGCGGGAAACTCGCGCTGACCTGCCGCAATGGGCGAGGGGGTGTGCACCTTTAGTCAGGATTGACCTTTCACACCTCCTCGCCGTGGTTATCTCGCACCACCCTGTAACCTGCCTCTGGGTGGACCTCGCTTAATTAGCTGAGCTGAGTGCTGACCCAACTCCGACAGACTCATTATAGAGGATATTGATCGGTAATAAATTCATTTATGCAGTAGCGGTTGGAGAAAACAAAATATCAGAAAAAATGGATAAAAATGAGAGCTCAAAAATAACTAATTTTTGGCTAATAGCATTCGCAGTGCAAGCCGTTTTCATGCAGAACAGTTACGAAAGTTGAAACTTCGCGCCTAACTTTCCTTACAGATCAAACTATGTAATTTATGAATGAGGCATTACCTTATTATGGGAAGATCACCTCCACAGGTATTTAATCAGGTGGGAGAGAGCATCACAAAGCACTACAATTGTTTGTGTATGTCCATCTCAAGCATGTTCTCAAGCTACTTCTACAGCAGTCCTCTGCATGACTCATTCACTTACCAACTTCTAGCAGATTCGGCTACAACTGGCGCTCCACTATTCGGAGATGCAGATCAACTGCCTGCTCCACCTCTTTACATGGATTCCAGTGCACTTCCTTTGTACAGCACCACTACTGTGTCAGTGCCTGCACCATTACTCTGCGTGGCTTCTTCTCCATTTCAGGTCACCCCTCTGTCGTATTGAATTCAACTTCGTCCCAGATCCCCTTTGTTTCTATCCCTGGTCCTGCTTCATCCTCGATTTATGCATACATTTCAGCATCACCACTTCCACCCCAAGAAATATCATATGCACCCGTCCCTCCGATTTCGCAAACTACACGTAATATCTATCCCATTCCACCTGATAGCCTTACCAATTCTGTAGCCACAGAATCTTCTTACAGGTACATCGAACACATCCATTTCCCCCACCAATACAATACAATACAATACACAATACACAATACAATATGTCACTAATACATCTGTATAATCTGAATTTTTTGTTAAGTACGCTAAAAATTTGAATATAAATTAAGCTTTGGTTTGTTTCCGTGAATGTAATAAAGATAATAGACTAGACTTGATAATCAATACTGCGCATGAGAGCGATATGTTGGAGCGAGGTCAGCAGTCAGCACACCTAATTAAGCAAGATCCACCCAGAGGCAGGTTACAGGGTGGTGCGAGATAACCAACGGCGAGGAGGTGTGAAAGGTTCGCATAACTCTACAAAGTCCCTCTCCCTGGGCGAGGTCTATGCAACATCTGTTAAGTGGCCAACGTATTAGGTGGCACCTTGCCTAGACGGCGAACTCGGCAGAGAAAGGGGAAAGTGCGTGGAGATTGCAGAGACGCAGAGGGTCATGTAGAGGGCGACTAAAATGTACCCCTGAGTACATTTTAGTCGCCGCCTATCTGCGTCTCTTTCAATCCCCATGCACTTTCCCCTTTCTCTGCACGTCATGCATTGGTCGCATTGAGCGTCCTGTGTCCCTGCCATGCGCAGAGCGCAGGGAAGAAGGGGGTACGTGGAAGGTGTTGAGTGTGGGCAGCAAGAAAGCCACTGGAGCTATCGATAATATTGATAACTTTCTGCCAATAAGGTGATCAGCTGTCCCCTGCAGTGTTCCACTTATTGATCGTGTTATAGCTCCTTCCTTGGTCCTGGGAGCATTTCACCCTGTACAATCATCTAGGCCATGATCCACACTTAAAACACGTCGATTGCGCAGTGCCGTCACTGGTGAATTGATCGGTCGCGGGATTATCAGGGACGGGATTCCAATTCTGCATACTTGATGTGTTTTGCAACCCTCATAGGATCCTACCTTGCTTTCTACAATTCTTTCAATGTAACCAGCAATGCTTTGTGGTGCAGTGGCAAACGTCGCGCTCATGGGCGCTGCATTACATGGTTCAAGTCCATGGCGACGCGACTTTTGCTAGGAATGTAGTGAAGTTCGCCATTCAGAGCGGGGTCATCTGGCTGTCTCGCCTTTCATTACTCACCGTTTACGGCCGTAGTTCACCACCTTTAACTCCCAGTCTATGGCACTTTACTACCGTTCGTATTCTCCCCCCTCGATTAGTATAAACCCTGCGTCGGCCAGCTGTCATATGGTGTAAGCCCGTCGCCTTATGTGGATATGCGGAATGTCTGAAACTTATGGGACGTAGGCTGATTGCGGTGCAAACATCCGAAAACGGAGGAATATAAGGATGAAAGAAGCGAAGGAAAATTAGAAAGAGGATTTGCTTCCACCATTCAAACGTAATGGTTCATCGCGCTTCCCAAAGAAAAATTCACAATAGTCTTCTGTGGGTAATGATGTGAGAAGAACCTGCCACTCAAACCTGGTACACTGGTCGAGCTCGGCGAGGTTCTCGACGAATCCCTAAACCATTACGAAGTCATCTGAAGTGCTGATTGGAGGTTTTGCATAGTATGAGTACTGAATCTCTCTAGAAAACTAATTGAATACCTGCGAATACCGGATAAGAATTGTGTGCAGCTTCATGCCGCGAGCGGCCAGTCCTGAATTCCTGTGGCTATGCCAGATAAGCGTGCTATTATGAAGCGTTGAAGGGCAATGAAGAGGGCTTGCTTTCTTGTAGAGGCACATCTGAGGAATATCAGCTGTAAGACGCGTGTGTCAAAATGATAGGTGAAATTGACAAAATGTCATTTTTCCTCCCCCCCCCCCCCCTGACTGGATAGGAAAAATAAGAGGAAAAGTTCTCATAACATGCCCCCACTTTTGGACTGCGCCATATAACTCACTCATCCAGCTCTGCCGCAAGTAAAACAGTGGCAGAAACTGGGACTGAAGCTCCTGAATTCATTAAGTCCTGTATCCTTTCTACTGCCGCTCGAGATTAGAGAAGCCGAACTCTAAGACACAATTTGAGATCACGGGATATCCTTCACGTGCGAAACAGTATGCTCTAGCATGTACCTTCGACACCCCTATCATGTTTTCTCAATTGAATACGAAGTTTCTTTTGTGGAGCTAAAATCGTTTTCTGCCTNATTCTCAGAATAACTATAATATTTGTACCAGTTTTTCCACACTATTCAGAGAAGCTTACGAGGAAGTACAAGAGGAAAGGGATCAGATGCTGGCGATGGAGCGCAGTCATCACACAGAAGGCATTCCTTCTATGGACGAGGTGGCAAAACAAACAGCGGAATTGGCTCAGGTTCGTTGGAGAACATTTCTTCTTCTACATGGTTTGGGATTTCCCAAAAAGCTTTCATTAGACTCTACAAACTCGAACTGGAGCCAAAACTTCTATGATGCCATTGGCAAGCATATCGCAGATATAAACCTTGAAGGGAGAGATGGATAGTCGCTTTCTAAGCGACATATTTGGCAGTATTCTTAGCTTCGATTAGAACGATCTTGCGTGATCATTTTAGGTCAGTTAAACGGATGATGGCTTCACTGAAACCGAAAAAGGAGCCCAGCTTCAAGACGTGAGACAAAGCGTTCCAGAGGAGATGAAGGAAAAGCTCATTATGGTTTGACAGATTATCTCTTATCATTGTACTGTCACTATATGTATATTGTGATATAGCATTTCTTATTAAAAAGGATCTACCTCACATTCATCTCCTTTTGTATGTTTATGATCATAAAATCCTACACGTGTATGCTTATTGGTCAATCCTGCTCTTCTACTATACCATTTTTGCAGCGCAGTTTCACACAATATTTCGATTGAAGGTGTTTGGAAACTTTTCTCACATTTGTTGAACACTAAGCAAAAATTCCTATGTCGTGTCATTTGCGTCACGGAAAAATTGCTCTTTATGGGATTTACCGGAAGTGGTGTAGTGACAAGTGGCGCGCTCACCACGCGAGCGGTCCGGGATCAAATCCTGGGTCGTGAGTCGCCCGGGCCAACCAAGCCTTCCATCCCTCCGGGGTCGGTTAATTGGTACCAGACTTGTCTGGGAGGATAAAAACACTGACTTGACATCGGCTGGCCCCGCAAGTCATTGTATAGGCCACATCGCATTCAAACGCCACTACGAATGTACAAATGGAAGTAGAATGCGTGCCGCATCCCAAAAAGGATTGATCAACGGCAAATGCTTTATCCTTTATCTTTTTATCTTCCTTTATCCCTCGAGCACCGTAGGTTATAACTGGATCACCCGAACCGCATTTCGTCGCTCCTTCATAATATTGGCTAACTCCTTTCTCGACTTATTTCACCTCAATCTCTTTTAGCATCTTCAGAGTCCTTGTGACGTGCACGATTTTATCTCGATTATTATACACAAAAATATCAACGTGGAGGACAAAATATTAATCAAATCTTTCATCGACAAAATCCACACGTAGCTGCACACTTCTCTTTCATGTATGCCATCATGGCTGCATCGGCGTGATGACAATGATGCTTCATGGATTTGCATTCACCCGGTGAAGCATCCCGACATTGCCCCTGAAATAGATTCTGTTATCGATGGGAAAAATCTAAGGCACGGGTCGGGATT